AGTGCTTTAACCCGCTGCGCCACCAGGGAGGGCCCTGTCCAGAGCCATTTTTATGCCACCGCTATGTGTGGGTGCTACTGGCATTTTGTGGGTAGAGGGCAAGTATGTTACTAAACACCCTGTAATGGACAACACCCCACGACAAAGCTCTCTGTCCAAAATGTCCATAGTGTCAAGATTGAGAAACCCGATGTGGATTGAGAGGCAAAATCCAGTGACATCATGAGCTGTCTTCCTAGCATACAGCTAGAACATAATCTACTGCCTTTATCGTCACATTTTCTCATGTTTTTTCCCATTCACCTGCCTCTTTCTCAGAGTGGCTTCTAGCTTGAATATTTTCTTTTTAAATCATCATTCCCTTATCCTTTTTAAAAATAATTTTTTTACATTTTTAATTTTACATTGATTTTTAAAAGTATTGTTTTGTTTTACCTGCCTTAGAGTTGTTATTTTAAAACAATGTATTGTTTTTTAGTCTTCTGTGACTTGTTTTTTTCACTCAGTATGTTTCTGAGATTCATTCATGTTGCTCTACACAACTAAACTTTATTTTATACTGATGAACATTTTAATTGTTTAGTTAGTGTGGTATTTTGTTTTGTTTTCCTATTATGATTAGACTTGGATTCAGGATTTCTCTAGAGTACTTAGGAATAGGCTCACTGTTTCCAAGGTATGTGAATGTTCAACTTCATGAAATAGTGCCAAATTATTTTCCAAAGTGCATGTGGTAATTTATACACCACCAATGTATCACAGGCCTTTATCCTCATCTTTACCAACTTTGTAATATCGGATTTCTTAAAATTTGTTAATCAAGTTTGTACATTGCTCTTACATTGTCAGCTAACTTTGCATTTCCCTAACTAATAATGAGGTTGGATATTTTTTACCATTTGTGACTTCTCCTTTATAAAATACCTATTTGTGTCTTTAGTCTATCTTCCTTTGGCTTCTCTAAGTTTTTCTCTCCTCTTACTCAGTCCCTGAGTAAGATTTATAGGATTTATAGGAGTTCTTATATTCTGGATAATAATCTATCATTATGTTTGTTGCAAGTACCTTTCCCTAATTTATGGCTTATGTTTTCATAACTGTGCTGTGTTTTGAACAAAAGTTCTTAATTTTGACATTGCTGACCTCATCAATCTTTTTTTTTTTAATGGTTAGCCTTGTGTTTCCTGTTTAAAAAAAAACTTCCCTCCCTGAAATTGATTATTTCAATATATTATTTTAAAAGCTGTAAAGTTTTTCCTTTCCTTTATGTCTTGAATACATTGGGAATTAATTTCTGTATATGCTAATCAATTGTCTCACTGCAATTTCTTCCTTGAACTGCCACACCAAATCCCTCACATATCAAGTTTCCATAAATGCGTAGGTCTGTTTCTGGGCTCTGTAATTCTGTTCCACTGGGCCAATGTAACTGTCCCTGCCTCAGTGTCCTCTGTGTTCATTTTTACAGCTTTCTATAATACTTGACATATGGTAGTATAGATTTCCCCTCTTATTTCATCTTGCTCCTTGGAAGTACCTTTGTTACTTTTCCCCTTTGAGTAGTCATAATTTTAGATTCAGTGTTTCAAGTTGCCTGAAAAATTCTATGGGATTATCATTGTAATTACAAGGAAAACATAGAATACTTCTGAGGATAATTAACACCTTTATAATATTGTCTTCCGATTTTGAAACAGGGTATATCTTTCCATATGTTTAGTTCTACTTTAATGCCTTCTAGTAAAATTTTGTAGTTTTCTCTCTAAGGTCTTACATATCTACAGCAAAGGTCTTTATCAGCCTATTTCTATTGTTTATTGTTTCTTTTGGTTCTTGCATATAGTATTTTTTCCCATGTGTATTTAGTCATATTTGATGGTGATATGCTAATCTTCCTTAAAATTTTATTCGTGAAATTTTTTGAGGTCTCCCTGCTTTCAGGCAGATAGAGGAGGCCATAGCTCACCCTTTGCTTTTTCTCAATCGTATTCAGCTCAAAGCAGTCCTTACACTAGAGTGGCATATTTTGGGGTGATATTTTCTGCTCCCCTATAGGTTCAGGGTTTTTGATGAAAAAAAGAAAAAAAACAGCTAAGGAATTGTTTCCAGATTGGAGACATTGTATTTGAGACATGCCAACCAAATACAATGCATGGCCCTAAGGAAAATGGAGCTGAAGAACTCTATCTGAACAATAGGTGATACTTAAATATGTACTGTGAATTAGATTGTGGTATTGGATCAATGTTATTTTAATTGACTTATCAAAATAAATTTACTGTTATGTAAGAGAATGCTTGTTCTTTGAAAATATACACAGAAGTATTTAGAGGCCATGATACTTGCAACTTATTCTCCATTTTTTCAGAAAGAAAAAGATGATAGATAGATAGATGATAAATAGATAAAATACAAGAATTGACAATGAAAATGTTGATCAATAAATCTGTTTAAAGGGTATAAGTAAGGGAGTGCTTTCCTCATTCTTGCAGCTGTTCTTTAGGTTTGAAGTTATTTCAAAATTAAAAGTTACCAGCAGATTAAGAAAAACCTGGGTTTCACCAAAGATAGTGCAAGAAGTGTTGGCCTAGTATGTGATCAGTGTTTGCAGTTATTTTATGTGTGTTTGAGAAGAATGTGTCTTCTTGAATCATGGATTCAAGATCTTACATATGTTTGAAAATTCAAGGTTATTAATTGTATTATTTAAATCTTTACATCATTTTTTTCTATTGAACTAATTAATGGAAGTTGTGTGAAATTTTTCACTATATTGTGTATTTGTCATGTTTCTATCCATATTTGCTTTACCTATTTTGAGGCTACTTTTATTTAGAGCATAAATTTAAAACTGTTCATTACTCCTTTGTACACTTTACTTTTTACTTTTGGAATAATTTTCCATTCTCTTGAAGAAATTATTTTAGAATTTTCTATAGTATTAGAGGTGGGTTGATGGCAAAATCTTTTTTTGTTTCTTGAAATTTTTTATGGTTGAAAGATAGTCTTGCAGAGGATGTAATTCTAGATTGATGGTTATTTTCTTTTAGAACTTCGGAAATATCATTCCCCTATTTGGTCTTCTATCGTTGCTGTGATGAGGATTGTTTTTTATTTTTGTTTTTTCAGGTGACCTCTCCTTTTCTCTGACTGTTTTAAAGAATTTTTTCCTTTGTCTCTGTTACTATAAGGTATCTAATGTGGATTTCTTTTCCCTTGCCCAGGTTGGTATAGATTGTGCTTGCAATCATGAATTCATATCTTTCATCAGCTATTTTCTTTTTGAATGTTGACTCTAGTCCATTCTCTCTTTCTGGAGCTGCAAAGAGATTATTAGACTATCAGATTATATTTCTATAATCATAGCTTTTATCCTCTCTTTCATATCTTCCAATTCCTTAATTTTCTGAGCTACATTCTATGTAATTTCTGCAGCTCATTGAGCCACTTCTGTAAGTCACTTTTAAATAATCTATCTTTAATCTTTTCACTCTATCTACAAAATGTATGCTATCCCATTTATAAATGTCTCATGAATTTAACCATAAATATTGATGAGACTTGAACAATAAAACTTAATTATAAGTTAAAATTACATATCATTACTCTTAATTCATTCTGTGGGTATTGTTGGTTGCCCAGTACAACTTAAAAAGTAATGCAGATATAGGACAATAACTATCTTCTATTGAGTTTACTGTATTTATTTGCTCTCTAAATAAATGTTAGATATTGGGTATTTACATTGAGAGTTTTCTTCCCCCATTCTTCTGTTTTTTAATTTTCAAAGTAAAAGAGAGGAAATGAGAAGATGGAAGATTTCTCATTGACAAAAGAAGAAAAGTGGGAGAATCCTGTTTGTTTAGGTCATGCAGTCCTAGAGGGTACAAACTGAATGCCTTTGTAGAGCAGGTGACACTGGGTGTGAACTACAGCCTTTGTCATAAGGAAACTAATTGCAGCACTTAGTTCAAGAGCACCTCCTTCACTGTGAGCCCCAGTGCCAGTGAGCAGACTAGAACAAATTATTAAATTATGAAAAATAAGAAGTAGGATATGCTGGTTATACCCAACAGTTGGAACCAACATCAGTGAGTCTCCAAACATCTTTTCTTCACTTGCTGCTACTTTTTCAGAATTTAAAGGATTCTGCTAGTGGTTTTGGTGAGAAAAACACAAATGTTTTAGGGTGATTACCTGTTTTCATTTCTATTTTTTTTGGTATTGTGTTAAAATATCATAACATAAAGTTCACCATTGTACAATTTTTCAATTGCTGTGCAAGACATCATTACTGCTCATCTCCAAAACTTTTTATCATCCCAAATGGAAACTGTGTACCCATTAAACAATACCTCGGTATTACTCCCTACCTGTATTAGTATTAGTATTAGTCCATGTATTAGTCTTAGTATTAGTTCCTCATAACCACTGTTTTTTTTCTGTCCCTAAGAAATTGACTATTCAAAGTACTTTAATTAAGTGGAATCATGTAATATTTGACCCTCCGTGTCTGGCTTACTTTAGTTAACATGTTTTTAAAATTCATCCATTTTGTGGTAAACTGGGTTTAAAAGAAGGACTTACTTTGGTACATAAGTCCTCTATTCAAAACTAACTTCAGGCAGTTTCTGGTATTAGGACTACAAAATGTTGTCCCTATCTGAGAGATTCTTTACAGTTAGATTTCATACAGCAAGCTTCCAAATGTAAGGTATAGCCCAGGATAAAATAAATGGAAATGTCATGTAACTGCCATATATTGTGTTGTTCTGCATTCATTTTAAAAAAATTTATGTGGGAAAATTTCATATTTTATAATTTCATATTTCAAAATTTTATATGGCTTCTTGCACCTCCAACCCCACCCCACCCCCGACTCCTGAGATGGTTTATTTGCCCAGAGATTGCCTAAGGAATTTGAGGAATTTTTTCTCTCTTGTGGAAGAATTTGTTCATTCTCAGAATAGAGAAAAGCTTAGGAAGAGAGCCAGAAAAAGCAGACAATGTAAAATATTTCCTCTAACTTGATTGAAGAATCACAGTTGACCCATGCATCTCTCCTTTCTAGAAGGACTCATTGTTTGATGCTATGGGGTAACAGTCCCTTCAACCCTGCTGTCTGTGAAGTTCCCCTTCATGTACATGGATTGCCCCAAAGGTATCCCCACAGAGCATAAATCCTCTGAGAAGCCTAAAAATATGTGGAGTAAGAAGTCCTACAGGAATGAAGATTTAAGACAAAAAAGAGGAAGAAAAATAAATAGGAATTGATTCCCTTTCTGGACCCGAACGTTCAGAATATTTGAAATGTTTGCTTAAGGCTAGTTTAGGGTGTACAAAAGTAATGATATTCTTAAATTTAGGGAGCAAATAAAAATACAAAATGTTTCTGAAGAACAAATGAAAAAAATAGGAAGAGGAATTGTATGATTTTTAAAGAATAATGCCTAAACTAGAAAATGTCTTCCATCTTTCCAACAAGGAACACAATGTATTTCTTTACCATTCCATTGATCGGTATGTATATTCCAGGTACCAAAGTGAACTTAACTTGGGAAAGTTGTTTGTATTGTAGGTATTCTCACACATGGCTTATGTAGACATAGATACAGCTAGAGATACAGATATGTCTTTCCATTTTTGATTTGCGAGGTGAGTGAAGTTTAATAAAGACAGATGCAAAAGAATACCTAGGTGACATTAACCATACAAATGCAAATGGAGGATTTCAACCAATCATCAGCATTTTATTAACACAAACATCTAGTGTTACTTAGTAGTCTTACATAATAGTCTTAAGATCTAACTTTCTTCAGTTATTTATATAATTTTGCAAACTGTCTTTATGATGTGGAAAGTAAAGAATACCAAGAAATTGTGATAACAAAGTGAATTTCTTTTGGCTCCCCATCACCACCAATATGAAAAGACATTATCTTCCAGTTTGACTACATAGGAAAGAAAACTTCTATTTCACCCCATTTAATCTATTTTCAAGTGCATATCTCTGATCAGGATGCATCTTACAATAGCAGCCAGCAAGGCTGCCATTGTGACTGTAGTTATAATTACACATGTATGAACATCAAAAGTGCCAGCATCAAAATTTGTACAATGGGAGTCAATGACTTGGAATACATATGGTCTTGCAGACAGGAGAGGTTTCTTCTTTTTTAATCCCTAGGAACCAAATGGTTGTGGGGAGAGAGTGAATCAGACACACTTAGCAACATTCTTTCAGCAGGAGTCAAAAGTAGGCTACCCCCACATCATTGCCCGGTCAGTTTAGGAGCTGGCATCAATGACTCTTAGTTCTTTTATGGATTATTTTAAGAGATGCTGCATCATCAAACTCCTAAAAGAGGGTGATACCATGGATAAACACAGGCATCAAAGAGTCTGAGACAAATGCTGAATGTGAACAATTTATTTCATTCAAGGTCCCTCTCTTTTGTATGTACAAGTTTGATACATGAGACAATCATTTGTTATATATAATTTTTAATAGCCCTTTCAATAAGTAAAGAAGAGTCATTCTAAACATGTATGACATAATATAACTGGAAGGGGTTTTTTGTTTGTTTATTTTCTTAATAGTATATAAAGTAATGGTTCCTCTTACCAGGATAGCATTCTCGATTCAGTGAAAGAATCATTAAATGTATAGTTGATGAGCTTGAATGAGGTAAAATGCTTTCTCTACATAATATATTCCTAAATGTTAGTTGCATTCCACTTGAATAAAAAAAATACAAGGCATTCTTATTTTGGTGTGATGTAGTCTCTTTTCCCAAGACCTTTAATTGCATGTGGCCCCTACTTAACTGTCCCTAAAATACATCGTGAGAGGAGAAATGTCCTGCCAGTTTCTCATGTGGTTTCCTTATAAGTGTGGTTAACTCCTGTTTCCTTGCTAGGGGTGCAGGCTGCATCTTTATTGAAATGTTCCAGGGTCAACCTCTGTTTCCTGGAGTTTCCAACATCCTTGAACAGCTGGAGAAGATCTGGGAGGTAAGAGAATTCCTCATAGGAAGATCTATATGCATTTCAAACCTTGCATCATATTTGCCTGAGAGACAAATGAAGCAGTCCATCTGCTTTACGATATTAAGCTATATATTAAGGTTGTGGAAACTGTGGTATTTGCCTCAGTATAAGCACCTTGGGAGTGAGTGGTCTGAAAAATCTCTATTGTCTATAGCAGTCTGTGAATCCACCTGCTCCCCATTATGGTTGTCTCAGTCTCACAGAACTTCTGACACTCCTACTTAAGCACAACCCTGATTTGCCAGCCCCAGTTCTAATGCTTTCATGTATTTGGCCCTGGATATTTGTCGGCTGAAAACAAGAACACATTTTCCTAGAACTTTCATAAAACAAAGACTTTCTATGTTAGTATGAGGGAAGTATACTATTTTCATGCTTCTTCCAAGCCAAATTCTTAAGATTATCAAACTTAGGTCTGGAGCTCCATTTCTTTATTCATTAGTGAATACTACTTCATTTGCATAGGATGTCCTTTGTTTCTTTATCCTTTATGCTTTACTAGCCATGTCCTGTAGTCATATTTCTGGTTTTGGGTGATTTTTTTTTAATTGTGAAAGAACATAACCTTCAGCACTTTATATAGATCACTGGCATTAAATACATCCACATCATTGCATGGCCATCATTGGCACTCACTTCCAAAACATTTTCATCGTCCCAAACAGAAGCTCTGTACCCATTCAGTGTTACCTTCCCCACCTTCCCTCAGCCAGCCCTGGTCACTGCTCCTCTACTGTCTGAGTTTTCCTACCCAGGTAGCTTTTGTAATAGAATCATACAGTATTTCTCTTCTGTATCTGCCTCATTTGACTTAGTATAATATTTTCAAGCTCATCCACACAGCATGTACATTTAATTGGGGGGAGGGGCATCATTTGTTATCCTGGATTCTGTTCCCTTTTAAGTTTGCTTGCTTCAAGCACATCTGGAGAATTTTTGCAGAAGTCCTAGCAAATATTGCCCTAATGGGGTTTTAGTGTGCAGGTGAGAGAACTTGTCTCGAACTCTTACGATTTTAATTTAGTTGCTGCAAACATTTTGCTGGTCTAGGAATGTTATAAAATTTTTATTTTCAAATTGTGTTCCCAATGTGCAGTTCTGCATTTATTGTTTAAAATAAAAGGTAAAAAAAAAAGGTTGGGTGAATATTTAATAACACATAAAAGTAAAAGAAATCCTTAAGGAACATCCATGAAAAGAGAAATGAGTTAGTTGCCAGTGTATGGAGGTCAACATCTTATTTCTATGAAGAAATTCTGAGCAAATCACTCTAGTGCTGCAGTTCCATGACCCAGAAGACATTCTATTCTGCTTCAATTAAAATGTGCTTTGTGAATTTAATGCATTTTATAGATATTTATCACTACCCTTAAATTTTGTGGAGCAACATCAGAAAAATGAACATATTTTTCAATCCAAAAGATTTCTTCTTGAAACTCTCCTGCAACCTTGAATCACTATTAGATGCTGTAACATCATCTAAGCTGAAGTAGCCCCGTGCAATGGCTGTGCAGTCAGATCTGGGTTTGAATTCTAGCCTTTTGCTAGCTATATGAATGCGAGTAAATTATATAGTCCCTCTGAGCTTCAGTTTCTTCCTTTGTTAGATGGGGCTAGAAATATAAACTATAGCTGTAGAAATGTTTCAATAAACTTACTGCTAAAAAGATTTCCCTGACATTTAACCCAAATATTCTCTTTTTCTACCTAGTGTTATACCTTGTACACAATAGAGGAAGCATAATTAGCCTACATCTCACCTTGCAATCACCTTTAACTCATTTGAAGAGGTTTTCCTACTTACTAAGTAGGAAAATCTTATTGGAGACCATTCACCTATAATATACTCTGCAAGGTTTTGCATGAAGTGACAAACATGGAACAATGGGAAGAATAAGAAATTGCAAATATTCTCTTTTTCTACCTAGTGTTATACCTTGTACACAATAGAGGAAGCATAATTAGCCTACATCTCACCTTGCAATCACCTTTAACTCATTTGAAGAGGTTTTCCTACTTACTAAGTAGGAAAATCTTATTGGAGACCATTCACCTATAATATACTCTGCAAGGTTTTGCATGAAGTGACAAACATGGAACAATGGGAAGAATAAGAAATTGCATTATTTGTGGTTTCAAGTATTGTTCAGTCTAGGTGGGGTAGAGGGTGAAGTAGATGTCAATATATATAAGGATATATGTATAGGTAACATTAATCATAATATTGAAATAAAGTATACTATTAGGATATTTGAAAAGTTGCAAATAAACTGATTTAATATTTTATACTATGTTTAATGATTGTGCTCTTGAAAGCAGCCATTTATTGTTCTTTGCATTTAGTGCAGCGCTTGAAGATCATAGAACAGAAAGAAAAGTCTAGACATTTCTCAGAATCTGATGACTCTCTAGCTAATGGTTTAAGTTTCCAAGACTGGCCTTGGTATACTGATACTCACCATTTGAAGGATATTTTGGGTAATGCAGTAATGTTGTGAATTTGCTATCTGCAAATCAGTAAGTAAAAAAACTTGGAATAAAATCTGGATATAACATTTCAAAGCATAAGTGATGCAGCAAAAACTTGTCTTAATAAATGAGTCCATCCGGTCCTTACCACGAGGCCACACTCATTTCTACCATTATCTTTATTACACTGCAGTGAATCAAAGGAACTTATTTAGAACATTATGACAACTTATTACAAATTTAAAACAAGTAAACATTAGAAATAACACTGGCCTGGAATCAGGAGACACGAGGTCCGAACCCAGTTCTAACTTTAGGTAACGAAGTAATGCCAGTCACATAACCAACCTTGTTGAGTCTCCAGTATTTTAAGTTGTGTTTGAATTTCTGATTCCGTAAAGTTGTGACTTTTTTAGACAAAGCATAGAGAGAATATTGTAGTTTCCCATCATTTTTAATCATATTTGTCTGTTCATTAGATTCTCCCCTGCCCATGAGTTGTCAACTTGCATAACTAAATCTAACTTTAAATATGTACTGTTCAAAGGAGTATGTTTCATGTTGCCTAGCTATACCTGATGAGAGCCAGGAGCTCATATTTATTATATTTCATTTCCCTCGGTCCTGCCCAATCAGGTGGAGACCATAGTTTTGTTATCACATCTGTAGTTTCACACTCTGGGGATGAAAAAATGGTCATCTCATTCAGTAACACACCTGTATTCTGTCTCGTATATGACTATATCTCAAGCAACTTTAAACATTACAAATAGCTCCTGGATTTCTGTTTTACTAACTATAGTCTACCCTAGTGAAAATAGCAAAGCTATTTTGGCTTCTACAATGTTGATGCAGGAACTGCTTCTTTGAAAGCAGTGAGTTCTCTACATTTCTCCTGAGAGTCACTTTCAGGAATGAAGACATAGTGAAAAGTCCTACATCTTTATTTCAACATCTATCTCAAGGGTGGGTGTGTGAGTTCACATCTGAACTGTTACCACTGCTTTCTGATCCATTTTTAAAAATTCTAATCCTCCTAATAAGTGTTTTTAGCAAATAATCCCAGATGCACTTCTAAAATCAGAATAAAATAAACGATGCAGACTTTAAATCCATTAATCAAAATGCCTTTAAGTTTCCATTCCAAGAAAGGCAGATAAACAGCCCCTGCAGCCCACTGTGGTTTCAAACATACCACTCACTAGCTGCCTTTTAAGAGCCTTCAGGGAGAGAGTAAATCAACAATTTTTGGTTTTCAGTTTCCCAGACAGTGAAGTGGAGATTTAGTAATTTTCTCAAGTGAAAAAGAATTCAATAACTTTCAAATGGAAACTGAGCATCAAATTTCCAAATAAAGGATATTGAATTTTGTTTGAACTTTTAACATCTTAAACTTAAACCTTTTAACACAATTTTTCAAAAGTTTTGCTGTCCATTTTATTGGTCTTAATTAAACATAAGGCCAAGTAGCCAACAATAGTAGTAACTTGCACCTTAAATAAAATATGGATGTGGCCATTATTTCCTTTATTGTTTTCTCTATGTTATCTTTACTTTCTTCTTATTGTATTGTGCCAGTTGAAAGAAGATGTATGGGTACACGTGAATCACACCCACTTGTTTACATGCACATCTGTGCAAATACACAAGACGGTAGGTTAAAAAAGAAGAATTAGCTTCCTGTCCCGTGGACTTCTTGCACAAAAGAAGAATTAGTCCAGTTGGTTTTTCAAAATGGATTCCAGGATCCTAAGAGTTCCTGCAGGCTCAGGATGGTTGATAGGAAAAGCCTATAATCCTCTCAGCAGCTTTTCAGTTTGTTTAGGGAACGGATCAAAGAAAGAAGTTTTTACTGGGTGGGTGATTTTTTTATTATATGAGAGAAAATAGCACTTGAGTGGCTTTTGTTTGAGGACAAGCTAACAGTCATCACCGTGTATACTTCTCAGCCAGGGTCCTAGTCAGCAAGCTGGCAGATATTAAGATTCTGGACTCCTGAATAATTATTATCACTCAGTTGACTTCCTGCCATAACTGATGACCCAGTATTTTGCACATGAATTTGTAGGAGAAATGATTCTTTAAAAGATCTGCATTGAAATACAATGCTTTGATTTTGTACTCCAATATCTTTGTTTTCAAATTAATTTAAAACGAGGGCTTCAGTTTGATATGCCTAAGAATAATGAACTTTTTCAAGTAATATAACTATTACAGTCCCCCAATTAAAACATACATAGCATATTTCTCTGAAAAGCCACAGAGAAAACAGGCAGATGAGATAAATTTGGTAGAAAACACCGAGCTAGACTCGGAATAATTTTTAGCCAGTATTCTACTGCCTAAAGTCAGTGTTTAAATCTTTTTTAATTTGAGCACCTCAGGGAATATTGGAATGTCCTTAATGAGCCATAATTTAAACTGGCAAGGGTAAATTGTGTTTCTTTATATCCCCAGCTCCCTGCATATTATCTTAGTGCATGGCGACCATGCAATAGATTTTTATTGATAAGAATATGACTTTAAGTAAGGCTTTGATCTGCCTCAGTAACAAGTAAATTAGTGAAGACACAGGTTTGGGACCTGTGTCTATCAGCATTCTCCAGAGAAACAGAACCAGGGGGATATACACAGAAGTATCAAAGCAAATTTATAATATTATGGCAGTTGGTTTATGCAATTACAAAAGGTGAGATTTGCCACCTATGAGAACTAGGAACAATGCAACCTGAGGCTGAAGGCCTGGGAACTGAGGGGCTCATGGTGTAAGCCCTAGAGTCTTAGAGTCCTGAAAACCAGGACTGTTAATGTCCAAGGCAGGAGAAGATAAATATCCCAGCTCAATAGGAAAGAGAGAAGATTTTCCCTTCCTTTGCTTTTTTTGTCCTACTTGTGCCCTTACTGGATGGATGATTCCCATCCACATTGATAAGGGTCATCTCTTTACTCAATCTACCAATTTAAGTGTTCATTTCTTCTAGAAAATGCCTCACAGATTCACAGGAATGATGCACCCCTTACCTAGACTAGATGAACATAAAATTATCTATCACAGGCCCATAGGAATATATTACAGCTTTGCCCATGAGATTATAAGTGTTGGGAAACCCAAGTTTCTTGTATGTATCGACTGGTCCACATGTCAGACACCTAACTCTTCCTGATGTCTCCATAACTGTCCCATCTGTCTCCCATCTTCTCATCATTCTATGTCTTTCTCTTATAGGTGCTGGGAGTCCCTACTGAGGACACTTGGCCTGGAGTTTCCAAGCTGCCTAACTACAATCCAGGTAATGTTGATTTGAATGTCTGAATGCTCTGAGAATTAGCAGTATGAGAAGATGGTCACACAAACATTATGTTCTTGTTTCATTATTGACTCAACAGAGAGATAGAGCTGGACAGCATTTTAGATTAGTTTTTCCCTAAGCAATCCTGTATGACAATACTGAACTAGTAGTTGAGGTTAGATCAGCTCTCCTACTCTATAAAACAAAGAAGCCAACTGAGTAAGAATTTGAAAGGACAATTAGTTATGGATTCTACATTCTGTTTCAAAGACATTCTCCCTTTGAACCCCATGACTGCCATTGCACTGGTTTGCTAGGTTAGTGTACCCATAAAGCACAAAAGGAGCTAATGCAACAGAGGGGATGTAGATGCTCCTTAAGCCTAGACAGGTCAGTCAAGACTTCTCTCATTTAGTGAAGAGGCCACCCATTGCCGCTATACCTGACACTTAGTCATTTTCTGTCACACATTTGGTCCCCCAAGACTGACTTTGGAAGTGGTGCAAATGTTGTCCCTGGGGGAAGTCTCTGAGAAATGGGCCCGGGACTCTGCCAGAGGTTCAGGTTATGCCATAGTCACTTCAAGGATGTTAAGACAAGTGAGGAGGTAAGCAATGAGCTTCTGGGTAAAGGACCATGGGGTGGAGGTCTAGAGAGCCAAGTGATGACCATCCCAAAATTGTACTCTTGCTGGTAGGACTAAAGAGGAGGTAGATAGGTTGAGATAAGGATGCAATTATTATGACTGTGACCCAAGTCACATCTAGTCTTTATCTCCTTATTTTGTGCCATTACTGAAAATGGCTTTTTCCCAAATTGTTGTCCTTTCCAATGAGTAGGAATTATTCCAGGAAGGGTTTCTTGAAAGAAGAACTGTAGGAAGATTGAAAAGAAGATTAAAGAGGAAAACAAAACAGGGTTCTTTGTCTTCTTTTCTCCAGCATCTAATACTTGTGTTCAGTTATTCATAGAAAAAGACCAGCTCTTGGTTACCAAAGTGAGAGTGGGGGAATCGAAGGAAAGTTGTCAAAAGGTACAAATTTGCAGTTTGTGCAACATAATTGCTGGCTAACATATAAGAGAATTTGTTTTTCCTTTTTTCTGTTCCCTTTTTATTGGATCTGTATGGAAAGATGGATGTTAGTTGAAGGTGTTGTGGTCATCATTTCACTACATATATCAATCAAACCACCATGCTGTGTTGCCTTAAACATAGGTAGTGATAGATGTCACTTATTTCACAAAACTGGGAGGGAAAACCAACTATATGTGAGGATCTCTCAGACACCCTGAATGGGCCTGGGATATGAAACCCCTCCGGCAAGTCACAGACAAACTGTCAAGTTCAAGTTAAGTCTGCTTTGTGAAGTCTCATGTGCATTGCTAAATGGCCTTAGGATGACTTACAAGTAGTTTGCCATTTTTAGCTATTTTGCTATAGTTTAGCACCTGAAAGATGCCTCTCCAGCCATAGGGCTTTAGAATATTACCATTTCCTTTTGTTTTGAGGTAGAATGATGAACATTGTCCTGTGAAGACCATGGTCCAATCTGCAGTGTGCCCTCTCTCCACTTGCCTAGGTGTCTAGGAGAACCTGCTTCTCTCTCTTCTTTTCCCACCTTCTATACCTGCCCCTATCCATTCTCCTCTCCGGGTGAAAATGGGACCCCTCAGCATCCTACCATGGATGCAAGCAGAACTTTAGGGTCACAGATTGAGTGCAGAAAGCAAAGTGGGTGATGGCAACACAAGCTGCCATGATAAGCATGTATGTTCCCCAAACTTTAAACATTTGGGTTTCAGATTGGTTCAGGCAATAATGAGAGATCCTTATTACACAATGCCTTGATGAGAACAATAATGACAGAAACTTGGCCAAAATGCCACCCTGACAAATTCTGTATGAAATAACATAATGGCGTTCCAATAAAACAGCAAGAAATCCATTGCATTTTTCATTTTGCTATTGTTTCAAAGTTATGTGCATTTTTTAATTCATGAAGAGAATTCACCAGGCCCAACATTAATCAAGAAGCTTATTTTGCATTGTTTTTCTAGCAAAGATTTAATTTAATTCAAATAAGTCAAAACTTGTCAAACCTCTACTATCTATGAGGTGCTGTGTTAGCGCCTTTTGGAGTCCCTATGAGCTTGGGCTTGTATTGACTCGTCCCCTGTTTCACCAGCTCTTCTTATTACTGCACCCTCACTTGTGAACCCGGCTTCCAAGGACTTGGGCAGAATGCAGCCATTGGCCAGATCGCTAGTGGAAGGGAGTCAGAACCATGAGTTATAGCCAAGATGTCTAATTCCCTACTTGCAAGCCTTCAAGTCCAGCATATTTTGGTCACGGGTCAGTGTTATTAATAAGGCAATCATAGGACTGTGTTTTGAAAGGGTCACCCACATTTGTATTCCAGGGATATCCCCTTATGTGAATCAAGAAGTCCCTTTGAGCTAACCCCTGCTTCCACCCCAGCCCTGAGCTGCTGCTACTTCCACACACACATGAACGCCAGTGATTAAGGGACCAGAAGAGAGGATGAGAGCCAGGAAAATGTCACAGAAGAGAGTGTTAACACCACCCTGGCTGAGATTTCCCTTCCTTTCCTTGTCACTCGAAGCAGTAGTAAAAGCCCCTAAACTTTGAATTCAGCTGGTATCAGAATTTTGAAGGAGCAGGAGAACTCAGAACTTGGCAGAACAATCCAGGGTCCATCACTGTCCTCACTGCCAATTCCAAGCTCTGTCTGGACAATGTCTGGGAGACATTTTGTGTTTATACAGGTTAAACAAACAAACAAACAAAAGACACCTGGTGTTGACCCAGCTGGACAGGTTTCTCTGATCAGTTACCTGTTTTCTTGGGACCCTGACGCAGGGTTACAAATTTTCTAGCCATCAATTCAGACTCCTGTGCCTGATTAAATCTGGGCAAGGTAAGAGAGAGGGATAATTTTAGAAATGATTGACTTCCTTCCCTCCTCTTTCCTTCCTTCCTAGCTTTCCTTCCTTCTTTCTTCCCGTTCTACCTCCCATTTTAAGCAAGCTGACTGAGAGCTCTGTGTCCTCCACTTCAAAGGGCCAGTTGTCTTATTTTGATGTGGGTAGATTGAGAAGTAGGCTTTGAAAAGGAAGCTTTTTTTTTTTTTTTTTTTGTTTAATCTTTTCTCCTGGGATAGCTTTCAGAGCAATATATCCAAGTGTCAGTGAGGAGGTTCTGACGAGCACGGATTCCCAGGCTCTCAGCAGGATCATTCTCTAACAGAAATATAAAAGTGAAATATTAAAAACCCTGGAACGTGAACTCCATCTTCAGAGTAGCCAGTGTCTTGCCTGCTTGCACCATGGGAAAAAAAGATCTTGAAAAAAGAGGGAGGAGAAAAAAAGTGCTTTGAGTAAGAGGTTTACAGGTTTAGTAGAGCATAGTAACATCCCCTCAAAGAAGTGGGTGTTACTCTGTGACCCCCCAAAATGCTCCTTCTTTGACTCAGCCGCCAGAACAGTCACCCTCCCCCAACAACACACCCCCTTTTCACATGCTAACTGAGGCGCCTGTGATTGGCTGAACAATAAACTGGTCACACTTGCTAAAGGCTGCCATCTTTCACACAATTAGCTAAGACACATTAATCAAACTGGCTGGGGGACTGGGACAGTGCTGGCTTCCCAGAGTGGGGGAGGGGAGAAATGTTGGTGATCCTTAATAAAGTCCACACGGAGCAATAATACAGGACAGCATGCTGAGGAGACTCTGCTACAGAAAGTCTAAAAAGGTGAGAACCCCACCGGGTAACATATCTGGGACGTGCTGAGTTGGTGGCACAGAGGAACCCAGAAGCTTAAGAGCAAATTGGATATTGGGCTTACCTACAGTCTGCTAATAGAAGATCTAGTAGTGTGAGTTTAAAGGGTAGACATTTATGTAAAGTTCCTTTGGCCCTGTTAATGTCCCCCTTTTGTGCCTCAAGCCCTTTGGGTCCAACTAAAACCAGTAGCGTTTAGAAGTATATTTAGAATCAATTAATAGAAAGTATTAACTGCCAATGTGTTGGTCCTAAACTAAGTATTTGGAGATTGTTAAAAATAGTTAAGTTCTCGAGGAAAAAAATGTTAACTTTCATGCTTTCAGCAGTAATATTTTCTGACTTTACTTTTGCAAATTCCTTTTAAATAGATTTTCCAAGCAAAATATAAAGCTACTCAGAGCATACCTAGGAGACCAGTCTGCTACAGAACCATGTAGGACTTTTAAGAGAATCAACTAAATATTTAGACATTTCTCAACTAAAGTAAATGGAAGCCTTACTCTTCAGAGGTTGTCCAGTCACCATCTCATTAAATGCAAAGATCCTGTGATAAAGAAAAACTTTTTTTCTGCCCACATGATTACAGCCCCGTTGTGGTTTTTAATGTGTCATTGATTGTTTCATCCAGCTCTTTTTGCTCTACTGAAAGGGTCTGTCGTGGCTCTGTTTGCTTCCTTAAACATGGTTTTTGAAAGCGCTCACGCTGTGTGAGCTCAAATCCTAGCATTAATGTACTGCTGGGTTCATTTCACAACACTCAAAAGCACTGAGTTTAAATCCCTCTCGATTCCATTTGAGGCACCAGAAGACTTTATCCTTCTCCACTAATGGTTCCAAGTTTACATCTAGATACTGGGGGTCAAGGACAGGAGAGGATTTAGAAATAACAGCGCATGACATTAGTCAATGCATTTGCCAAATTGGCAATTAGTTCCTGATGTGCGTGGAAAGCATTTTATTCCTGTCTCTTTGATGCTTGTTCCCATTGAGAAGAGAACAGAGTCCACAGAGGCCTTCAAACTTTTAAAGAAATATCTGCTGAAAATCATGCCTGATTTGTGACATGAGCTCAGCTGCAGGGAAGCATCCGGGATTATCCTGGTTCTTTCAGCCCCAGGAAAAAATACTGACATGGAAAGATTTCTACTGGAGGAAGGTAGTGGAAATCAAAAGGCAGGAAAGCAGCACTAA